TTCTTAACTGTGCAGGTTTGCTGGGCAGGCTGCATGAAACTGCCTGTCTCAGCATGAGCTTAAGTCACCGCTGAAATTAAAGTCAGTATTTTAGGACTGGCAAGCAGAGAGAGCTTGTGCCACCTTATGGTCTTGTTGCATGTCGTTCCCACCTTTCAGCAGGTTTGCTTTCACATGGCTGTGGATGCTGAATTCGGGACTGTAAGAGAATCTCAGTGGCAGCCTCATGAATTCCTTAGCTTTTTGAATTTAGAGAAAAGTTTGCATGATCAGACAGCAGGAAGAAAGCAATCCATGCCTCTGAAAAGACTCATCAGATTAAAGCTGGTCTCTCTCTGGGGGGAAAGAGAAAGGTAGGACTTAAATCATGACTTTTCAACCCATAGGTTTCCAACCCTGGAAATACCAAAATTTACTGTTTGCCAAAACACAGCGAGAACGTGTAGTGAGCGCTCCTCTGGAAGGGAAGGCCTGGAGGCTGGTGGCTCCAATGCCTGAGCACAACTGGCTCAGCTGTGGTCCCTGCCATGCCAGCTGGGTGGAGGAGGGCCTCTCTATGTGAGAAAGCGGCTAAGATTTCATTTCCTTTTTCCCCTCCGAAGGTATTAGCCAAGGAGTCTCAGTAACTATGATCTTCCCAGTCTAAACCAGGGAGATCAAATCTGATCTACAAATGGTGTGCTGTGAGAACACAGGTGTGCCTCTGCTGCTGATCTTGCCCTACTCTTGAGTGCAGGATAGCAACAGAGGTGTTCGTAAGAAACAATAGCCGCCTTAAAATGTGTTCCAGTCGATGAAATTGATGTTGAAACCATCACCAGGGAGTCATTAACAGCAGCATGTTTGAGATCCTAATGCTGTTTTGCAGGAATAGCAAAAAGGTCTTTGCTACTGGACAGATAGAAATGCTGATCCAAGCAGGCCCTCTGTGGGGAGATGGGTACCAAAGTGCCCTGCTGTGGCTGAGCACTATCACTGGGAGTCTGGGACTTCCCCAAAGGAAAAGGAGTGAGGGACCAGACATTTAAAGCACCAGCCTGAAGCTAGCTGCCTCTGACAGGAGGGAGCTCTGTGAGGCACAGCGAAGAGAAGCATCCACGTTTTGCCTTAGAAGGAATAGCTGCCTGACAGGGGCAGGGAGCGCCAACAGGCAGGAGTGTACTAGGAGATGAGGGGTTGGGGAGCACGGAGGAATAGCAGAGAGGCTGACAGCTGAAGAGCTTCAGTCCTAGTTGCAGACCTGCTCTTGCACTTTGCTCAAGCGTGTTCAAGGAAAGGAGGGAACAAGGCTCTGGGGTAAGGGCTGGAGTGCTCAGGTCTCACCAGTCACAGAGTCACTTCTTTCCCCCCCTCTAGGTCTCAGCAGCTGCTTACTACAGGCAAAGTAAACAAATGCCACAGCAGGGCTGGAGAACATCCCGTTCCCGAGGAGGGCCGTGGCATCTGCTGAAGTTTAAAAGAAAAGGTGGAGGCAGTCCTAGCAGAAGGTGGCAAACCCCAGTTAATTGCTTTTTACAAAGAAAATTAAGAAACTCCATATTACCTATGTCAAATCAAGGTGCCGAGTCCCTCAAAGAGAGACTTGCACACTCCAGTCTCACGGGAGCCATGAGCAAGCTCTGGCTCACACTAACTTGTCTTTACAACAGGCTGTGTGGCACCAAGTTTTCATAAAGCCCGTCTGTGGGTAGCATAGTCCCTCTCCTCCCCATTGCCTCAACTCCCACCCCAGGGCAGAAAAGCTCCCCTCTCCTCCCCAAACTACACAGCTGCAATGTTGAACCACTACTGTAGTTGCAAAATGTTGGCTGATGGGACTCCTCGACTTGGTAAATCTGCTGTGCATCACCCTGAGCGTAAACACAGATCTGGAGGAATACGAGAAGCAAACTAGGCAGGTTCACTAACCTACAGCCTAGCCCTCTCCTGCTTCAAGGGAACTGTCCCTGTCAAACAGACCTTTAAGCTGGGATGCATGGGGAAAGGGAGAAACAAAAAAAAGTAAATTGCAGCTAGCTGCTTTTAAGGCAACACAAGCAGAAGCCTAGCAGGAGCTGCTACACTCCTCATCTCTAGTACACAGCTTTCAGCCTCTTGACACTCCCAGCAGAAGCAATTAATTTCTGGGACAAACAGACAGCTATCCCGCTCCACAGATGTTTCCTCTTAGTTCTACTGGACTTGAGTCAATGAAAACGTGGCAATATCTGCACAGCAACACATGGAACTTTCCACCAGACCAGATGGGAACAGGACCAGTCTCAGTTGAAGCCTCTATTAAAAATCTAACTGCTATTTTTGTTTGGGATGGAAGGGAGGGGTTAAAAGAGAGCTAAGAAAATAGAAATGGGCAGCATAGCCCCTAGCATGCCTGAGAACCACAGTCTCAAAGATTTCTTGATAGAACAAATGTTGTATCAACTGGGACTGCTGTAGGCCCTTTTACCCCTGTCAGAGCTTTGTTTATCCATTTGGGATATGAGCTGGTAGCAGCAAACCTCCAGGGACAGCTGAGACCAACTAGCAGCTGTGTAATACTTTTGGCCAGGCTCATTATTAATCTCTCGGGCATAGAAGCAGCCCCTGTCTGAACTGTGGTCACACTCCACCCCATTGCTTTTCCATGCCAATAGATGGGAGGCAGCGATTGTGGAAGGAATAGGACCCCTTGAAGACCACTCGGTGCATTCTGTGCCTACTTATACAGCTACAGAAGACCTAGGGGGAGGACACTCATAGTTAGAGGAAGCACTGCAAATACTCACACCATGTTAATTAACAGCAACACTCTTGGGAAGTGCTTGGAACCAAGTATTTTGTGACTGAGGTAGCCATTTTTGTATACACAGCTGCTCCACAGGTTTCCCTGTGCTGGCAGCAGACACAGATGCGCAGGTACCAAGAGTTTTCTTTTTCAGTACCTTGAGCACATAGCCTAGATCTTAGATGGGCTAAATATTTGCCATCCTCAGAAAGAAGTGGAGAGGGAATGCACATATATTCACCTCCACAGAGGTGTCAGTTAACATGCTTGAAACACAGTGAGGTTTCTCTCTGCCCCCTCTCCCCAGCTCTCATAACAATCAATTTAAAATTAAAAGGATCTGGAGAGGGGACAAGAAGCATCTTAAATGATGTAACTTGCAAAACGCTTGGGGATCCTTCAGCTGGAGTGCTATGTAGAAAAAAACTCTACTATTACCATGTTACAAAATTCACCCTGGAAGTAACTCTGGGCAACCTTTTGGTATCCAACCACAGATCTGTAATAAAAAAGGCAACAGCTATTCAGAGAATGGAGAATGGCTGTGGTTTAAGACTTGCAATCCTCATTTAGATTAACCATTTTCTGAAACATCAAACACATGACCAGGCAAAAACTGCCTCTGGTAAGTCAAAGATACTGTAAATGTTTTTTTCCCCTTCAGTTTTCTTTCTTTCTACATTCTTACAAGTAGCTTTGCGCGGCAAGGAATGGATCACAGCTACTGTGAAGCTGATGTCAGGTTTGTCTTTGACTCACAAAGAATACCTCTGCTGGAGTGATTAAAGATTTTTTTATATATAAAATCATCATCACTTCTTGCCTGTATTAATACATAGCACTATCATAACCTACCTAACCCATTACTTAAGGTACTGAAAAAATTCCACCTCTTCAAAATAGATTGTCGTGGGCAAATTTTGTTGGACAATTTATTTTTTCCCTTTTTTTTTTTAAAAAAAAACCTGCCTGCTCTTTATAGTAGTGGCTACACATATCTGAAATACACAGTAGTATTGCAGTCACTTTGAATAATTATGTGAGTGATCTCTAGGAAAAGGGTTGAAGAGATCTGGAGACCTTAAATACACCATATATTTTAATGATCTTGATTATTAGTTTGAGATGTAATATATTTTGTCCATTACCTACAGCTCTTCTTCAGCAAAAGCTTTCCCCTTCTCCCCACCAGATACGTTCCAGTCAAGAGAATGTTCTTAATCTGATATTAGGAAATTAAACCAGGAAATTCACAAAAGGCTGCTTGAGCTAAATGATTCTTGGATTATTGTAGTAACTTTTGCCATAATGTTTGTTCAAAACAACCCTGCTAACACTTCCAGATGAAACATCAACTTCTTGAAAATCAACTTTCTCTTTTGACTTCTTCCATCTGTTGTCTCTTCCCATCCAAATAAACAGCTCTTTGGGCCAGCCAATTGATGCAGGGAGGAAATCCACCCACTTTGAAGGCCCGGTGATACAACTTGATTGCATGCCTTATCTGCCATCTTCTGTCTTTCCCTGTAAAGGATCATTACTGACAGCCACTATGCTTTTCCAGCTGAATTACCAAACTTACTTTCCCTTCTACCTTAGCCATGCCCCTTCTCCTTACCCACTGTGAGAGGTTTTGGCTAGACTACTATTGTACCTGTTAGCAAAAGGGACCGGCAGAGCTCTAGTGAGCAAAGAAATCTTGGTTTAAAAATATGAATTGGAAACTTGGGACCATGTTGTTTTTATAGTAAAATCTGACCACATTTTATTCAAAGATAAGAAAGATGATTTGAAGGAAGACTTCCACCAAGTGCTGTTCTCATCTGGCTGGTGAACAAAAAAAAAAAAAAAAAAAAAAAATATTCAAGAGGCCCAAAACCTGGCTTGTGCCATACTGAGGACAACCCTCCAGACACTAAAACACAGCAGCTGGTCTACAGAAGTGGAACGCATGCAAACAAAATTAAGCAGAACCTACACCGGTCACTCTTGAAAACAGACTCAAGCTCTTCCCAGGCAATTGCATCAATTGCTGCTGATGCGCTTCCTAGGTGCAGACAGTTACTTAATATGGAAAGCATCTCAAATTTGCTTATTCACATTTAACTGTAGCTTTCTTTATGCTTAGTAACATTTTAAAAGCCTCTTAGCCAGAAGGATAAAGGTACTGGAACAACAACAAAAAAACCCCACAACCCTTTTTCTATATACAAACTGACAAGACTGCACAAACAATTAAAACCAGTTTTGAGCATTTAATAAAAACTCATCCTAGAAATCCAACTTTCTGCCGTGAGGTTCCCAAACTCTCCTCTTCATCCAAAGTCTTCTGAAGGGCTATGTGCAATGACTTGCCTACTCTTTTTCCAGTCTGCAATGCAAAGAAAGTAAAACAAATATGAGACATATGCTTGTTAACAGGAAGACTCTGACAGAACACTTCCTTTTTACAAATATTTTCCCTTTAATGATTAATATGCACCAGCTAGTATAATCAAAATATGCTTTTAATTAAGAAAAATAATGGTTATGGAAGTTTCACTTTAATTTGATTAAGATTTGAAAAAACGTACACATAAAGACAGAGCTCCCATTCATCAGAGAAGCATTCCATGATCATTAATACCAGATCTGTGCACTGCTGGATCACCCAGGAATACAAATTGAATTCACATCTGGCACAAGCACACATTCAAATTAGCCAGCACACACAATATGAAGCAATATGCTGCCTGCCAGAGGACAAGAGATACCTGACCAGCAAAGCAATGTACTAATACAAAGTTCAGTAAACTCTTCTGAATGTGCTCATAATAAGCAGAGTGAATTTAGCTCAACGCCCTGTTGTGTGACCAGAGAAACCCAAAATGGACACTGGCTGCATGACCAAATCAGTCTGTGAGCAGATCCTTCATTATGATGTGCAATTCTGTACTGTCCAAGGACCTTAAAGGAGATAACAGAAGGTTTTCTTTACAGAAATCAACTCCAGCAGTGGAAAACCACCAAGATTAGCTCCAATATCAGCCTCTACTCTTCCCACATGCACAACTGTATTGTGGAAGCTGCAGGACAGGGAAACATTGGGCAATGCTGAAATAAAGATCTTAAGGCAGTGGTGCCTATTAGAGCTTTCCCAGGTCTTCTCCAAACGACCTGAAATACTGACTCCATACAGAGATGAAAAGATCCCACCTGTCCCTAAAGAGCCAAAGACTGATTACATTAAACTGAGTTTATTAGCTCCTGATCAAGCCTATGCCTGCCACAAACCTCTCTTTCACCTGTTGATGACAATTACCAACACCATGGGCCCACAAATCTTAAAATAATGTACATTTCTAATTGAAGAACCAGGTGACAGAATACAGCCCAGAGTACCACAGGAAATTCAGGAAGAGGTTTGATGCAGCAGGGTAGCTGTCAGTCCTAGACCCTGTGAGTCATGTTAAGTGAAGGGGGGCACACACAAGAACTGTTACAGCTCTGCACTGGGACAAAGATCACAGCAGCAGTCTGGAGTCCTGAGGGGTGGTATACTCTCCTCAAACGTAGGACAACATCACTCACACCAGGCCAAAGTGAATGGGAACTGTGCACAGCTTTGGTATTGACACAACACACAACACTGTTGCCATCTTATACCTCTTATGGTACTGCCTTGCCTTGCCTACACTTTTCTCTCTTATGGATTGGATCATAAACTCAGTAAAAAAAGCCTAATGCTGACAGCTTTCCAAAACTTTCCCGTGAAGCTGCCTTCCTAAGAGATATGTCCCAGGAACATCTGTTCTCTACCAGGCAGGGAAAGCTGAACACTCTCTGACCTGCAGCCAAATCATTAGGCAATGGAGGTGTCAAACACGGGTTATGCAGCTCCTCCACTGGACGTTCCCAGACCCTTCTGTTTTTCTTGGTATCCTAATGAGGCTGCTGAATTTGAGGCAGGGCCAAACAACACATCTCTGGCCTCCCAGAAAACATCTTTGTTTCTTCTTATCAGCTTTATCCCTCACTCCTTCAAACTGCTCACCACCCAGGAGGGAAGACTTCTTCCAAACCAAGTGACAGACAGCGCAACTCACTGGGTGATCAGCTAAAGCTTTCAACTCCTTGCACCAAGTAGGGACAAGTTCACTAAAGCTGTTCAGCAGAGTAGGAAGGTTTGAAGATTTCCTATGGTTACCTTCCATACGCATCTCTGATTAGTGCTTAGATGACCATTACATAATCCCAAGCACAGCGTTTGGGGGTAGGCTATACAATGGACCGCAGAAGTTCATCTCCTATTTAGGGGTCAATGCAGAGCAAAATCAGTGATCAAAATAGAGGCTCCAAGCAAAGCTTTGTGCAGATAATTTGCATGGAGGCTAGCTTCTACCATGAACCTGACTTAAGCATCCATCTCTTTTTAACAGCCCTAGACCCAAAACCTCAAGTCTTCTATGACATTTAGTTAGAACTGGGTGCAAAATCCATCAAGGAAGACACATCAGATGTCCCTACGAAGTTCGGTTTCTTCAGGATGCCAGATTAGAGGTAACACCCCTCTACCCAGATAAAGGGGATAAATGACATCTCTGACAGACACAGATAAAAAGCCCACTGGTACCACCAAGATTAGCACTCTGGATTGACATCATGAAACAATGAAGTGCCATATATACTCAGGATGTAATTTCTACTTGAGACCAACTATTTTCAAACTTGGCTTCAATTTTTGCATTCCTCACTACAGCCATGCTGAAATTAGTTCTGGATCTCTAGGAAACAGCGCCAATTTGAAGTACTTAATTTTCATTCTGACTCCAAGTTGAAACCCATTTCTGTCTCATGCTCAAGGCCAAACCCAGGCATAAGAATTTATACTGCAGGACAGATTTAAGAGCCTGAAGAAAGGTTGAAAATGGAATTCTTATGTGGATGTGAACAACATCCAGATACTAGTATTTTCATGGAGTAGAGACAGATCAGAAACCCTATAAAGGAGCAAAGAAAAACAATAGTAAAATGAGAACAGCAAGCTTAACACAGAACAAGTAAGTTCTACTAGAAGAGAACACCATGCACTAGCAATTCAAAACATCATCTCTACTTTTATAGGGACTTCACCATGTTAGAAGTTTTGCTCTTTCAGTCTTTAAGGGAAATGATGAGAGGGAACACATTCTTTACAAATACTCTCACAGTTTATCAACTTAAGCTTTATAGCTGTGAAGTACTTGACTAAAACAAATGTGAGTACCATATGTTTCAGGCATCTAAAAGTTTTAGCCAACATCCATTCATGTTAGATTCTGTTTCAAAGGAACTCTCTGTGACCTTCAGCAAGTCCCTTGTGCACCCAATAAAAGCGCCAAGATCTCTGCTCTTCAAGTCCTTACTGCAGCTTTTCATATACCTAAGTTCCAGTTCATCCAGTATCATCCAAGACAGTAACTGCTCAAAACTCCTTACCTCCATCATTTCAAAAATACTCTCAGGATCCAGGCTACCTTTCCCGACCTTCTTCATAGAAGTGAGGGCGCCTTTACTGGTCACAGAAATAAGCAGGCTGGCCAAAGAACAGGCTTCTTCCTGAAGGGTAGCATCCACCACATGCCTATATCCAATCTGTAAGTTAACGAAAAAATGACACATTAGTTTGCAGTTGTCTAAGCTCTTTATTAACAAGTTAAACTGTGAGTGGTATCTCTGTTAGTTATCTACAGCCTCCCATCCCCGTATCATGTGGCCTTTGGCAGTGGTCAGAGACTGACTTGACAGCACAGTATTTAAACAATCTCTGACCCCAAATTGTGTGTACATATATAACAGAGGTGAGATAAGCATGTCACTACTTCATACTGTTTTCCCCTCCGACCATCCTTTCACCTCTATGAAACTCCCTATTCCCCTTTCCCACCCAACTCCAAGCATGGACCTTGCTCCCCACTAGGTGAAAATTACACATCCTGAGACTCAGGTGAGGCCTCACTTCAGCAATGGCCTTTCTACTATTTATGCAACTTGCTTAAAAGAAATGTCAGACAGACTTTCAGGTAACTAAGCAAATCACTAACTCTTGCAATGGAAAATGAAGCATCCAACAAATCAACCGTGTTAGCTGTGTGCTGTATATGGAAAAGGAAAAAAAAACCTGTTTGAAAGAAAAGGACAGTATTGCACCCATGAAAACAGAGTTCTGTCCACAGCAAGAAATACTAGTGTAACTCCAGGCAGATCAGATGACCTCTGCACCCCACAATGACCATTTGTTTTAACATACTGAAGTATCTGCTGCTCTGGATGTTGAGCAAGTAGATGAAAAATAATAAACAACTCTTCTGCATGCAAGAAGATGCATTTTAAGAAGTCATCAAGTATAAACCTACAAGTCAGAGATGGAAAAAACCTCGTATTCAGTAAAATTCTTCTTAATTAGGAGGCCAAAGGTGAACAAATACACCACACAGTGAAGACTAACCATTTCTGTAACAAAAGTTTTATCTCTAGGGAAAAAATATAAAAGGACAGGTGAAGTTAACAGAAACTGAAGTCTCTAGGTAGAAGGTCAAAAATTTGTCAGGCTTACTTTGCTTAGTGTGACGATACAGGGCACATCATCCACATTAAGTCGAATACAATCATAAGGGTCATCAGACAGCTCAATCTCTTTAGAACCTTCTTCATCTTCCAGAACACGCACTTTAGGTATTCTGTGGAAACAAAATGTGCAAAATAATTGCCAGAACTGTTAATGAATACAGTTGTCACACAGCCTCAACTCCAGGAAGTACACTTTCTAAATAAGGCTAAATGTTTAGAAAAAAAATCCAGAATGTTATCAAAGTATTAACAACTCACTCACTGAGACTAGGAAGAAAACATTGTAAGTGGGAAGTTATTTAGGATAAGATAATCATATTTACATATTTCAAACTGTTAGAATCTGAACTGGTTTTTACACTAATATATGGGGAGAGAGTCTTTTGGAATTTGCACCAATCAATTCTGAACAATTCTTTTTACATCTGCCTGGATGTACAGGACACAAATTACCAAGACTGAATCCTTCCGTACTGTGGTTCTCAACCTTGCAGACAACCACAAAGTTGTCAGAATTACAGCAATTGCAGTGCTTAGCAAAGCTGTGACATCAGTAGCAAATACAAGTAGTAAAGCTGTTCAGGGAAGAATGATGCTAACTAAGGAGATTTAGGGTAAAGGGAAAAGATGACATTAGTAAAATCCTTTCTCATTAGCAAGATGGGAAGATTGGCAAGATATTCTCATTCTTTAAGAAGCCAGAACACTCTGCTATTCTAAGGACAGATACACAAAAGCAATGACCAGGGATAGAAAAACCCAGGCAGAAGTCCAAGAAATACTTTCTTCTTAATTGTGAATGATGAGCTCTCACAAATGAGCTAGACGGGCTCCTTATCAGAGGTACATATATTGTATTTGTGACAGCCATTTAATGTGATTTTTACAGGATGATTTAATGTAGTTTTCTTAGCATAATGAATAAAGTAATTTAAAACAATTTAGTAGAAGATGGTTATCACAAGGCGCCAAGAATGTCAGCATCTTATATACCCTCATTTATCCAGATGCCCACTAGGATGGAGTGCTGAGAGACTTTGCTTTACTGGCATAAACCCTCTGCACAGCTCAACCATACTACTCTCGCTTTTAAACATTTGTACTTGAAAACATAAAATATTTCAAGACGTCCCCAGAAAGCTAACTTCAGTAACCATGTGGAATGTAATATAATCTGTTTTTATATTAGTACTTTTACAGTAGCATTGTGTTTTATAACTAGACTCTGTAGGCTACATTCTTTTACACATTCTGTACCAAATCTCTTTTAAAAGAAGAAGAGAGAGAGGCTGATTTAGTGAATGTTTCCCCCACCAATGCAAAGTGATTTTTGTTGTTCCCTGGAAGAATATTTTAGTTATTTGTGGCTAAGAGTCCTAGAGGCAAGTACTTCACAACAGCTAACCCTGCTTCAGTGAGAACAAATCCCCTACAAGAACATTGGCCTGAGGCAACCTAAAACTAAAACTTTCAGTAAGCAGAACAACTGTGATATGTACTTTTTCCTGAAATGAAATTCAAAATGCTTTTCAATTCATTGGAAATGCATCAAAGCCTATTTTCAAGTTAAAAATATTCCATTAAAAATTGACGGAATAAAGTCACAAGGTGACTAACCCTCAAGCTGCAGAGGACAATGGACAACATTGGACAACAGCCTAGACAAGGAGTGTATATGCCAGAGCAGTGTTTAAAAAAAAGAAGGAAGATTTCAAGAAAATCTGTGAGATTAAACAATTTTTAACTCCATCCTAAAAGAGCTATGAAACCAGAGCAATGTTTGGTCCGCAAGAAAAAGCTGCCAGAATTAATACCTGAAAAAAGCCTGCAAGGAACTGTTTTGGCCAAGAACAGATGGGAGGTACAAATTAGAACTATTACAGAGGCAAAAAGACAGTTGATCAGACACAAGCATCATAGTTACATAAAAAGAGGGTACATACACACGGAAGCTAGACAAGAGAGTGTGGCACAAAGCATTTCCAGAAAACTAGAGATTGCCTCTCCCAGCTTGTGAAGATTTATCTTAAGAACTAGCTGTACATGTTTACTTCGCAACTCTCATTTTTCTGTTTTGATTCCTGCAACTAATCAGTGCAGAAATCTGTGCAGCAGGACTTAGTCACATAACAAACAATGCTATTTTCTGCATGCTGCGGACCCAGATTTCACAACTGCAAAACCAGTTCTGCCCTTGCAAGCGGGCATCAGTTCTGCCTCTACCATGCTGCCCAGCAAAAAGCCACATCTGCAAGGCTATTGTGTTATGAACTCTGCAGCTTTATAACTTGCGTCGTTTCTGTTGCCTTGGTTGCAAGTAGGCACATTCCACAAGATCAAGTTTAATGTTAAATCCTGGCACCGTATCTTCTTGCGCATTTTGCAATATCTACTTCCATCATGGATAAATCCAGCCTTAAGCACCTTGGAGACACAGTTAGGAAGAAAGTTTGATATGTGCTATCTTTTGCACATGATCTTGATATAATTTTCAGAACACCATGAACAGTGCAAAACTCCGAGGAGTAAATGTTCCCCCTAAAACAGTCATATTGTCATTGTTCCATGCCTGAACACGATGAGTCAGGTCAGACATACAAAGGGTTTAAATGCCATAATCCTTGTGCAAAATTCCTTAGGTCAAGATTTTGGATTTACTTAGCCCTAAAGAAACACGTATCCATAGCTATTATAAAAGTAGTTAGAGCAAGATTTTAATGATGAAGCTGAGGTTTTCAAATGTCTATCTGAATATCTAAACATTTGTAGCTTCACAGAAAAAACAGCAGTTTGAGTTTCCTACTCTTGGTTCCAAGGCTGCAGTCAAGGATGACAAAGATCTGAAAATACTTATAACAAAAAACCTGGTTGTAAACAGATTATGAAAGGCAACTAAGTCTCAAAGAGGGACACACATGTCAAGCAAACTTCAGAACAGTTAATCTGAAGTGATCTTCAAATGGACATCTTGTCCTGCTTGGACAATAATATTTTATGGTAAGTAGGCAGCTACTTTAAACAACCTTGTGTCAATCCAAAGAAAACTTAGGAGGTACCAAGGGAGAGGAATAGTGAATGAGGACAACAGGTTTTCACTCTGAATTTCACCTCCTGACTTTCTGAGCTCCTATGAGATTAGACATACTAGCATTCCCTGCTCAAATCAATAGACAGGGTTTTCACAGGTAAAAAAAGTCAACAGGCTCTGCATTATGTCCTGCTGTACCACATTTTGATTTGATATCCGACTTCCACAAGACTGTGGATGCTTGCCCACAGATTAAAGATTACATGAAGGATACAGCTGTCAGAAGAATAAAAATAAAGCAAAATCATTAAAACAATTACACCCTACATGTTGCCCATGTTCCCAAAGCAAGATTTTCCTTTATTTATTTAATTACTTTTAACATGATCTTCCCTCTTTATTTAGAGCTAGGATTCTAGATGAAATAAGAAAAAAGACCTAGTTATCTTGTAAATAAAGTACGTGCCTTAGATCTGCAAAACAACTCACATGGGAGCAACTGTTGTAACTACATGACTCTTGCATCCTGGCAGTTCCCAGAGAAACATAGGCATTTCTTCCTTTTAGTGTACTGCCAACTCTTTTGTGAGCCATTATGTTTGTGACAGTATTTCTTAATGATATAAAAACAATCTAGTGTTAGAAGTTACCTTTGAGAACTTGATTAGCATGGGAAGTTTCTCAGCAATATATACAAGTTGTAGTCTCAGATGGATTCTCCCCTTATCCCCTTTTAAAGTGTTTATAACCCGATATACTGCCTGTCTTCAAAAGTGTATTTTCCTCTTCTTGCACATACTTTTCCAGCTCTAGTACTGTGCACTGATTCCCTGATGAATAAGCCAGAACTATACCAATCACTTCACTTTAGCAGATCTCTAATTTATAGCTGAAGAACAATTTGATATCCACTTTTAAAACATTTGTGTCTATAGGAGTCTAACTTTTGCACCTCTTCCAGCTACTTTTGCTACATAAGTTTCTTAGCAAAGCCATTCACTAGTTTCTTTCTCAAGGGTGCTACAAAACCATATTCCCTTTCACCTATAGATAAAGAAGATAACATTAGAAAAAGTAGTATTGAATGCTATCATTAAAACACACACAAAGCATCATTCATTCTACTAGACTTTGTTCTTCCATTCTTTGAATTAAAATGCATGGGGCAAAGTTCTTTTAAAGACATATAATTTTCCCCTCCCCACAATCCCTCACCACCATTTTATCCTCTTAGTTTTATAAAGAGCTCTAGACTAACAGTTAATGAGAAAGAACACCAGAAGTGGGAAATCAGGGCTAGTTACAAATCAGTAGGCACACTGAGAGAGGGCTGTTTATTCAGAAGCATCATATATCAGTAAATACTTCTTATTTTAAACCCACAAGGCATCGACACAAAGGCCTCCATCTACTTGCAACAAAATCATATGGTCAAGACATTTTTTTCCAGATCTGGCTACAGAACAAAAGTTTTACTGTGAGCCTGATTGTGCATAGAATGCAATATGACACTTGATTATTAGAAACTGAAGTAAAGTCATTAGTTCATGTTACTTGCATGCAAATGGACTGCCTTGTATCTGAATGAAAGTTGCCTTGGGTATTTCTTATTTAAATAATTAAGCATTAAAAATGCCTAGCTTAGAGAGCGTACTAATTTTCTACTGCCCATGCCATTTCCACTGACATTGAATAAGATCTGTGCATTACCTTGTGTTAAAGAGAGCTGCCTTCACTGCGATAGAGATGGCATCAAAGAGGTTCCCACCACATTCCAATAACTGAAGAGGAAAAAAAGAATCTCTTTAAAAGAAAATCAGGCTAGTGACTTTAAACCAAGTCTTTACTTTACTTAAACCTACTTGAAAAGGCACAAAATGAAGAACCAGAACAAGTTTTTAAAAAACAATGTTGTCTTTAAAGCCTATCTGTGAAAAAAACCAACAGATAAGAAATTAAGATTTTGGCTAACTGTATTATACATGCAAAATAGAAGAGTTAACACACTTCATAATAAAATTAATGACAAAATTTAATAATAGAAGCTGAAATTAAACAACTGTTCTTATTCTTCTTGTGCCAAGGCTTTGAACTAGACCAGAATACTTTTTATAAACTCACCACATTCATTCTTTAATGTTAAATCAAGCCAATCCATTTTCTATACTTTATTTCAAAGAGGAGTCTTTTTTTTAAATATCAGCTGGACGAACCCAGTTGGTAGAATCATTTTCAAAGCAGCAATGCAAATTGTCACCCAGAACATGGTATGAAAAGCTAGTTACAGAAGGTATAGTTATGAAGGCACATCGTGATTTATTCTCTATTCTTTATAGAAAAGGAGTCATCGGCAGGTGAGTCTTGTAGCTGAAAAAGATCTAAGGAAATCCTGATGTCAAAGTCTAGTTGTTGATAACACTATCATTTGAATTAAAGTGTGTGGAGGGAATCTAGCTTAGCTTCTTCCCATGAAGGTCAGGAGAAGAACAGTCAAAGAGAACAGCACTGCATACTAGATAAAAAGGCAGGGCTCCCATAACCACTAATACCTTCTACAGGCTGACAGACAACTCAAAGATGTATTTCGCCATAGTCTAGTAGTGTTAGTTCTCTGACAAGCTCTGCTCTCAGCTGCCAGTACTATTCTGTCAACACACACATCCTCAGCAAGCATTTGAAACTACTTCAGGGAGGACATGTGGATGCTTCGCCATTACATCAATCTATGCTGGATGACAAGACCAAAACAAGTTTTACCATACTGATTACATTGATTGTTCTTCAAAATCTATTTAAGAATTAGATAAACTCCCACACTGGGAGCAAATCATAAATCAGATATTCTGGAAAGACAGTTTGTTTTTATGAAAACAGACTGAACCGTGTAAGAAGAATAACAAAAAGTTGGGATAGAAAGCTAAATACAAAAGTGATCAGATTATTTCTTTGCAGACAGCTGCTGGATACAGAGAGGTTAACTTGCCACTTTCAGTCATTATTAGATTTTACTGGATAACAAAATAAGCCCCACAATATTTTTGTTATTAAAACACAATAATGGGATGTGCCTGTACTGTTGCTAGACTTATATTCACGCTGCTATTCTAAAGCCTTATCTGTATTACAGTGGCGCCTACAGGCTAGGAACACAGCCTGTATCAAGCACGGTACAACTCCTCCAAAAAGAAACGAATGCTCTCTTCTCAGCTGAAGCACTGTGTACTGAGATCCCCCTGTTTAAATATTTTTTCTTTTCACTGAGAAAGTCTACACAACTGAGAGTTGTGGGAAGCACAGAATTCTTTAGAAAGGACTGCTGTTATTTTACTGATATGCAAATGAAACTTACTGGGGGTAGGGGGAAAAAAAAATTGTAGACCTTGCCTATTCAAAGACATTTTTCCTCTAAAAGGACATATTTCTAACTTTTTTTTTTTTCCAAACTGGGGTGGGAACAGAAAAAATAAGGAAATCTTCTGAGGGGTGCTCAGTCGTGAATAGCTAAAATTTCAACAGAACCTAATGCACACCCCCTCAACAACCCATACTGTGGTTGGGTATGGAAGGAAAAGAGATTGCACACTTTGGTTCTCCTTACTCAGCACAGTAGGCTGCTGGGGCAAATTATGTGGAGAAGGCTATACATGTATCAAAAACACCCTCAAAAATGCCTAAAAGCTTACTTCTAACATCAATTACTTAGGAGGGGAAAGAAATTGAGGGAAACACACAGACAGCGAGAACAGGCTTACAGTTTTGCAGTACTGTGTATCTCCACATTCATGAGCTACTCTTTGGAAGTGGAACACCTATTATTAGGAAAAAACAAATGTATTTTGAAAGGTCAAGGTATATATTCTTGACCTTTCATACATATACATATGTATGTGTCCATATGTCTGCATCTTTATGGTGGGTATAGTTGAAGTGATTTTCTTTCCCGTCTGACTGTACGCAATTATAGCGCCTCCCAAATACACTGACCACTAGAAAATATTCAAGATGTGTTTTTAATTTATAAGCTGCACAACTATGCAAAATATACTGTTTTCTCTTTTGAGGTTGCATACGTGAAATTCTGTTTACACACAGGAGTGGAATACAGATGCATTGATCAAAGTGTGCATGGCTAAATTACATAAAAATGGAGTATCTCCTGGCTTCTAACATTCTTTCTGAGTTTTCATCTTTCAGAATGAGAGACTTTAAAACAAGTACCTTCCCACCAGACCACAAGGTACCAGTATTTTCAGGCTTTAAGACCTAAGACTTATTCTCCCTCCAATTTAACTATGCAACACAAACATCAATGTGAACAGCTTCTGGGAATTATAAAGTAAAATATCAATCAAAGGACTCTCAATAAGCATTGTTATTATATTCAGAATCTGCCTCCCTCAAATGATGAATTGGTACACTTGTACCTTATATTAGCACAAGCGTCATACTTCCACCATGTACTATTAAAATAGAATTCCATAGGAATGATTCATCAGGAGCAGCTTCAGGAAAATCTGTAGGTATTGATCACCTACATCAAGTATAAACTATAACATGCAATATACATGTCTTCTATTTAAAAAAGAATATAGTACAAATACCTCAAAAACGTGAAAATACGTGAAAATTTTCCCTCGGGTGGAAAAGAGGGGCGGGGGGGAGGGCAGAATAAGAGACAAATGTTAACAGTTGTTATCTTGTCCTAACTGTACCAGCAGCTCTTCAATGGCTCACACACAAATCCCTGCAGAGTATGACATTAAAAAGACTCACCAAGTTTAGAGTTCTAATTATGAACTTACAACAGATTCTTTTTTGGCACTGTAAACAAAGCTAAATGTAAAATTTATCACATAATATAGGTCTTGATATTCATCATTCTGATACAACTAGTAGCATAAAAATACAAAGTCTGTTTTTCTCTGTAGCTGTGGACAATCAACAAATTTGTCCAGGAAGACTCAAATAACCACCAGTTATACCTCATACAAAAGCTACACAGAACTACTTCTGCAGCAGTCAGCTTTATGAAAGTCTTTGTTTATGCAGTGTTTATGCATTGTTAAGCAGTACATTGCTTAAATAAGCACAGCATTTAATATTCTGTACCTCTGCTGGTAATTACCTAGTAACTAAAGGCCCCAGTGTGATTTCTCAGAACTAACACTTTATTCTCTATTAAACTATGCCAAGCTCCAATAAGCTGGTGACTAGGACTGTTAAAGCAATCAGCAGTGGTACATATTTGATCATTTTGTATGCGGACTACGTCACAGTATGTAGCCTATCTACTATAATGAGGCTAATGCTACTGCTGTTTCAACACTAATGGGCTAATTTTCACATTTATTTAGGTCTTAGTTTAAATGTTCCTGTTTTGTTTATCAAAACCCTATATTTAATTTTTTTGGCAATACAGCTCAACATTTCGCAAATCATTTCATAGACATTAATGGATTTCTATAAGAACCCTCAACATACTTTCAGTTACAAAGTTGACAAATAGAAAGTCAACTTTGGACCAATAACAATTGGAAATAATGCTCAGGGGAGCCTGACTTGCAGACTTCTGTCAAATCCCCATGACAGAGTGCTTTTAATACAGCATAGTTTGGAAATTGAGCTGCTGCAAGCACAAGATTTATATGCATAAAATTTAGTTTACATTTTTTTAATGGGAACAAATATTCAGCTTCTCTTCTACATTCAATACATACATACAACTTTCACCAAAAAGTGCCTGAATCAAACATAACTTTTGCCAGAAAAGTTTCTGTTTTACTTTACTGAATTAGTACTGATAATAGTGCAAAAAGGTAGACAAGATGGACAGTTATGTTAGTGCTAACATACACCCACACTAGCTTACATTGATTAGAATGATACATTTGCTGTTATATCTAGCTTGGAGAAAAGCTTAGCTTTCTTTAGTGGCAATTTCCTTGTCAATATAAGGTCACTGATTTTTATTTGAGACAGATTTGGAGTACTCAGTGTTTTATTCGCTCTGGAGTAGAGCAGCAGTATCAAGAAAAGTAGAAAAAGAACAAGCTAAAAGTAGTGATTAACTATTAGAGGCAGATTCACAAGAAAATAGCCATCCATGCTGTGAAGCATTACAACACATCATGAGAAGCTTTTTTCAAATATGAAAACACACATGCTTACGCTAAGTCAGTCAGCACCTTGAAAAACCTCCTTGAATCTTAGTTTTCATTTACTTACCAATACATCAACATAGAGAACCCAGCAGTGCTCTCTGGGATTAATACAAAGCGATTTCAAGTCTACACTGCTTTCACTGCTAAATACTCTGTAGAGTGTATTTGCTATCTCTGTGCCAAGTTCTTCTCCTCCCCGGCCTTCAAATTCAGGAGTAGCATTTGCAGAACTAGATAAAGAAAGAAAAAATACTTTCACTTCTGAAGCAGCCAATACCAAAAGAACATTTCTTAGATATAAAGCATTAGAAATATTTAAGGAATTATTTGTACAAGAATAAGCATCCTATTTGTAAAGAAATTATTTCCATTTTGCATAAGAAAATATCTTGATGCAGATAATATACCTAAATTTTGCTACAAACTCTGATACTAATTCAATTCCACTACTATCTTCAGTTCCCAAGTTACAATAGTAAAGTTGGTGAATTCTCTCAGGGATCATTTCTTAAGCACTCTCATCGTCTATTACCTCAACCCTTTCAAAAATAAAAAAGTGAGAGAAACCTGTACTAAGTTCAGAACAGCTAACAAGACAGCCTGTTAGACTTGAATGTTAAATTAATAAGACAAGAGAGTGGCTAAAGAGAAAGATGTGACGATGTGACAATATAACAAGTAGAATACTACTGGTTTTTTTTAAGTGACATGACTGCCTGACCTTAATTGGTAATTTCTTTAATGAGTGTACTCTCTGCTATCAAGCCACTTACAGACAGCAGCTCATTATTTTCAGCAACTACAGCTTATGGAGAGCAGCAACTAAAGAACTTTTTTTTTCTGAAAGGAATCTGATAAAAGTGTGTGGTCTTCACTTCCCTGACTCCAACATAACAAACTTTGTTTATGAGCAGTCAGGCAAGAAATTCCTCGGGTGCTGGGACCTTGTACACAGCTAAGAACAAAATTCTAACAATAAAACAGGCCTACCAAAAAAACCCGCACAAATAAACCCAAACAGAAAAACTTCCACCTCCAAGTCACAATGAAAGAGAGCAAAAATGTCCAGAGATACATATGCAGCAAAATAACAAACATATTCTGAACCCAGCCTCTGGTTTATAGAGAGGGCAAGAGCATTCTTAAGCACTGGACCTGTGGCACATGCTGCAGCTCTTGTTTTTAAATAAGCTAGTCAAACCTCTCCCAAATTAATTTGTCATTACAGAACACAGGAAAGGAGGTGGTTCCACAGAATTAGTTTCTGTATATTCAAAATCTGTAATAGCAAAGCCTTGTAGTCTCCTTGCTGGGCACCTCCCAGTGCCAATTTCTCATTTATGTTTTGTGTTTATATGATGATACAAACATACAGCAGAAAATAAAGTCTTGGACTATAATACCTTCACCTTTAAAAAAACAACTGAAGATGCACATTATCTAGATATGACTTAAACCATCAAGCGAGCTGTATCAACAAGACCGCAGAGCCTATAAGCTTACATATAATTACCTATTATTATTGTTATCTGTAAGAATTGCCTCACAGTAATTGTCTCAACTTGTTCTTTTGCAGAACTGATGAAAACTCAGAATGCCAGGAAGAGCTACTAGATTTTACAGAAGTTATTTCCTGCTTCTAGAAACAGACAGCACTATACATGCTTTAAAAAAAATAACTGCCAGTCAAGCACTGACCAGTAGTTCCAGACTACATTTGCCACACAAATAAGCACTACAAGTGTGACACACAATATTATTCACAGTTGTGTTAATATTAGACACTAATTTTTTTAAGATAGGACCATATATAAGTATAACTTAATTCTGGAAATATGCTGAGTCAGGTCTTTAAGTTGTATTAAACAAGCACTTATCCATGGAAACAGCTTTTATGCAAACGAACTACATCATTCAGTTTAAACCATTCTCTTTAAAGTATGGTTGTACAAGCTGTAAGATTCCTATGATAAGTTGAAAAGAATTATACAAATCCTAATCTATACCTTATTATTATTTCTAAACACAAGGTTTTATCAAATGTTGTATTTTTTTAATTATAAATGGCCACTTTCTTTGACAGCAAGTAGGAAGAACACAAGACTCAACTGGATTATCATTGCAAATTTCACTGCATCTTAATTCCATTATTATTTTAACACTTCAGTTCCTTGCAATCAGAGTGAAACAAAGAATTTATCAGGCTACTACTGTAATAACTATATGGTAAATACTGCCACCTAATGCTCACAGACTACTGCAGTAATTTACATCGGGTAAAATTTGAAAAGGGGTTGTCTAGCACACTAGTAAGAGAAAATGCGAAAAAACTCATTTTATGGAGCACAGAAAGAACTTAGGAGCGGCCAGGTGGAGCACAGAATCTCTACTTCCAAACAGAACATAATTTCAAAGATTCTGAAAACCATTTCAGTGTCACATTGCATAATCACCAAGACTCCTCCTAAAGCATAATGATGTTTCTACCACAGATCTCTACTGAATTTCAAAACCCTTGCTGTTACCAGTCAAAACCTTTCTCTCACAGCAGTTAAGTACTCCTCATCCATCGCTCAGGCCATTAATATACTATAATCTACAATGTAAGTAATTATAACAGAGATAAAACAGTTAATTAAACAAAAGCTTAATTTTCGTCGTATACAAGGTCTTCATTACACAGAGGATATTCTTCACTTGAAGACATATTTACTTCAAGCAACCATACCAGATTTCTATTCTTGCACAAAAAAAACACACAGTAATTTAAAACAAGGCAGATTTGCTGTTTTAGAATCAGCAGTAAGTTAACCACCTCACTAGTAGAACACTCTTCCAGAAGATGTCACGTTTATGATGCATCTGGACTGTCAAGGCAGTCCCAGAAATAGACAGACCTGAATTTACGTCCAGATGCTGACTAGCTGTGTTAATATGATTATAGGGATATTCAAGCTCATAACCCTATAAAGAATTGGGCTAACAAGGGTTTGGATTTAGTCTAGTCAAACTGGTAATTTTAACAACATGGATTTACTGATTCAGGTCTTTGCCTGGTCAGGCACCATCACCACACTTCCCATCCAAAAGAACATCTGCTTATAGCATTTGAAACAGTTTTACTCAAGCATCAGATGGTGTTTCTCTCTGAAAACGTAGCTCAATCCCATCTGGTATAGACAATGCCTCTTTAATGGAGGAAGTACCCTACAAAAACATAAAGACGTTTCATTCTTTCAAAACCCATTAGTTTTCCTCTTGCCTCTGCAAAGAAGAGTTGCCGCAATAAAGGGTTTATGGTAGGGGACAGAGGGGAAGGAAAGGTTCCTTTCCTGAAGCCACCATTCAAGTGATGCCTTCAGTTAACATTTTCCCCACTAAACACAATGGAACAGTATCTGAGGATCTCCTAAGAGCATTCTGATGTGGCTGTTCTGCAATACTGTTATCTCTTATGATTTGGAAAACCACTTTCCATCTAAAATATGTAAGATCCTATCTGATCCAGCCTGCCATGCAGGCATCACAAATAGGCCCACTCTCCCAGCTGGAACAAAAGCATGTCTGGCCTTCAAAGTGAAGGAACAGATGGCCAGACTTGGACAAATATATTCCTTGCTTCTCTAATTCCACAAACAAAATCTAATGCATTCGAGGAATTCAGATGTCTGCTTTTTAGTTGTTGTTGTTTCTTACATTTTGAAAATGATAAATCTTTGCATCAGTCAAAAAACAACCCCCCTCAAAACCCTTAACAAGTCAGTATTAGAACAGCCCCAAAACTCAAACATGAGAAAAGCAGATACAGCAGTCTCTCAACATCAATGGCCAAGATGATTGTCTTCTCCAGTGCTGGTGGGCAGTATGGACATCACACAGGACATGGCGTTGTTCTATGATAACTAATTTCTACTATCACAAATCAGTGCCCTAAAAATCATCTCTTCCAGAGACTTGTATTAAAGTCTGCCTCAAAATGGGACTAAATGTGCTCCTCAGGTTTTAGGTTCAGGACTCGGAGCAGAATGAAATGGAATTTTGGGGCAGAAAATTACATACATGATCCAGCAAGTGAGTATTTTCAGCAGTAGAAGAAGCCATGAAAGTTTCAGGAAATAAGCATTTTAAGACAGCAAACACTGCAGTCTGAGTTTTTATTATTAGTTTCAACAATATAAAAGCCAAGGAGAACATACAGGAACTTTACCAGGAGATACAGCGTATTAAACTGCTCAGTTACTACCACCCAGTGGCAGCCTGGAAAAGCATGAGAGTACTGACAGCATTTCTCATTTCCCTTTACAGAGAAAAAGCTGTCTCCACATTTTCTCCTTTGGATCTTTCTGGAGGCTAGATGTCACCTTCCCCTGGCAGCACAAGCACGCAAGAAGTGACTAACCTTCTCTAAAATTTAGGCTTTTGGGCTGTGTTGTCACAGAAAGCAAGGATTATCTATTTCTACAACTGACAAGATCCATCTTGCACAATATTGCTGCACATCCCCCTCCCATCTTCTTATGAAGCAGAGATTAACAGTTAGAAAATATAACCCAACATTAATCTAATAAATTGAAGTTTTCCTAACATTTTCTAACATTTATTTACATATGAAAGAAGTGTCACAGAATTGCAACATCCCTACATACCACTTGTTTTAGCAAGGAAATGTCCCTGCTGTCAGTGACTTTCTTCATATACAAACCACCAGAACAAAGCAGGTACTATTTAGCATATTTCATACATGAGTTTTATAAAGCAGTCAAGCTCAGATCCCCTCTAACAGCAGGACCACATTTGAGAAGATCATCTTCCTGCCTGATATTTTTTGAACAGTAATCATAGACAAACAATAGGCTAGTCCTTCTCTCTACAAACTAGTTTCCACAGTTAACTAGCACATTGTGATGTACAGAGGCAATCTTAGATAAGGCTGCACAATATGAGAGATACACAAACGTTATGGCAGATATAGCCAGTTAGGTCAAAAAGATTATCAGATATACACTTACTTAGCTTTACTAGTGGTATATTGGTTTAATGTCAGAGTAGCAACATTTTTTGGTTTTAATAAAAAGGTCACATGCAAAACAGCTAACTTGACAGTGCCAAGGCTTTGATGAGAGGTTCCCAAAGCACATTAGAAAGTTTGCAAGATATGGATACTGTAGTTACAGATAGCAGACAGTCTGGAATAACATCGAGATGTCACTATGCTATCTCAGAGCAACGTGAAAACAAGAGGTCTCAGTTTCCTTCTAGCTTCCTTCGTAATTCAAGCACTATGAAAACTGTAAGGCTAAACAATAGTCCATTTGTAGCACAAAGCCAGGAATATGATTAAAAACAAATACAATTTTAATGAAATACTAATTCACTGATAAATATAATTACATTTTCTAATTAACTTTTGCCTCTGAAGTTTACAGTGAGGATTTTTCTTTTTTTACAAATAAATTTGTACAAAACATACCTCAAACTTTTTCCACTGCTTTCACGAAGTAAGTAAACCTTTAAGTACAATTAAAGTACAGTCTGTATCAGTCAATTCTTTTCTTCCAGAACACTTAGTTTTTGAAAGAGATTTTTTCTATTCTATCATTGTAAAAAAAACAAGTGATATTGTAGTCATGAAGTGATGTTAAATTCATGTGTAGCTGAAGCATTACTCTTTTCAATCTGCAGTGATGCCATGCAATTTGGGACTGTTTTATTTAACCTGTTTTCATTCTTTAATTCCTAGTGTTTTGCTTATTTTGGGTCTGCAGAACCAGCAGGAAGTTTCTGAATATTCACCACTATTGAAACAGTAAAATAATTTGTTTCTATTACTCACATGGGAGGCTAGTGGAATGAAGGTATAAACTTCAGAAGAATGGTAAGATCTGATTGGTCATTTATTCCATTCATTTCCTTCTCTTCCAGTATACTAACCAGTCAACAAAGAATTCCAGGTAACCTTCATCTGGCTTCTCTAACTTCGGTGTCCCCATTTCAGCTTTTACCCCTACCAAGATATCAGTGTGTCCCTGTTAAAACAAAAACATATTGCACAACTGGAATTACAGTCACAGAACTACTAGTTTAATTTAAATGCCTATGGTAAGCTGACATTTCTGCCTTTCAGTTATCTGCACTGATCATTCTATCACAGCAAACTTCTCTGTAACATTCATGTTTTTTAAAAAAGGAAAGGCTTTGGAAGGACAACGTTAAGCATAAGTAGATTCCTCAAATAATTACCATACATATTAGCTTTCCCTAGGTTAAAAAGACACTCTTAATATCCATGACTACTTCTATCTACATATTAGCTTTCCCTAGGTTAAAAAGATACTCTTAATATCCATGACTACTTCTATCATTTTGGTTCTGAAAACAGCGATTTCTGCAGAACCTTTATAATAATGCATAGTATATTTGTCGTCTTCACAATCAACACACGCCAGAAGTAGAACACATGGTTCACTCTAAAGGAGTAGAATTTTTTCCAGCGATTAGGCACAACAACGATTTCAGTTTTCAAGACTAAATGTTAGATTAGTTCAGATTGAAGGCTATGCAGATACTGCACAGTAAATCTAGCTCAAGCAGGTTAAGCCAACCTGAACGAATTATGTATCCTGTCATAACTTCCTTAACCCATAGTTTTGGTTAGTGCTATACACACACAGGTTATTACACAGACACAAACCCATCTACAAATAGCCTCGGCTTATCTTAAAGCTAGTCACATAAACCAGGAATTTCATCAGCAAGATACACAATCCCTAGGAAATTTACTTACCAGCTTTACTCTTGCAGATCCACTTGTGTTTGATACAACATCTGTTTCTACTTCCACACATCTGTAGTCTTCGCAGCCACGTCCATCTACACGAAGGTCCTCCTAAGACAATCAATATACTGAGCTTAAAGGAATCAGTTATGAAAAGTAAAAAAAAAAAAAAAAAATTCTGTGATTTTAAAGTTTCCTTTTCCTATGCCAAACACAGCAGTAAAAAGGATATAAAAGCAACAGCTCATAGTTTCACCACTTTCACTTAAGAGTACAATGGAACCAACTGTACTTTTCCATTTACCTCTCATTTGTCTAGAGCTTGAAACAAGCTCTCGCAGACAGACATGTACTCCTGCAAAGAAAGCTTCAGACTGCAAAAGTGTAAACATCTTGGCTTTAAAAGGTACTTTACCTAGTACAACATGGATCTTTCTTGGGATACTCAAGTTCTGTACTTTTATATATGTAACTAGGACATATACAATTATATGTATAATTACACAAATTACATTATATGTTATTTTAATTAAAATATATGTATTTCATATATGTGTATGAAATTATACATTTTATATATGTAATTATGAATTAGCAGACAAAAATAAGCCACCAGCCTTCCAAATACTTTCATTTATTTGTATTTCAAAGACAGACAGCATGCACCCTCAGATACTATACAGCTTATCCCCATAAAAGTAGTTTTCTTTTCTGTAAAATAGTTTCTGTACTTTGCAGAAAGTACAGTGCTTTTATC